GTACATTAAAACGTGCGTACCGTAATTCTCAGACTATTGAGCGCACCTGAATATAAGCCGCACCCGCTAATTTTAAAAAGAAAAACAATTTTGTACATATATAGGCCGCACTTGTCTATAAGCCGCAGGTGTCCACGTTGTAACTATCACGATTCATGACATAAACGAAGCAGGACGGATGCAAGTGCAGTTAGGACGAGAGCTTTTATTGAAACGGAGGAGAGCAGACTCAAGAGAAACAAGAAACTCTAAACATGACCAACTCAATGAACTAAGCTAACTAAACCAACTAACCTAAACATTAACTATGACATGAAACGTGAGAATGACTGTGAAAATGGACATGGCATGGAACAAAGACTCTATATCTATACTCTATAAACCACTTCTACATCTATATTCTAAACCAAGTCTATACAACTCTAAGCTCTACTATCCGCTACTAGGCTATAAGCTATGCTACAAACTACTAGGCTATAAGCTATGCTATAAGCTACTAGGCTACAGGCTAAGCTATAAGCTAACTAGCCTTGACATGGACTATGGCTATGAAACATGAACAAGAACTAAGACACATGGCATTAACAAAGACTCTAACTATATTCGCTATCTAATTCTAACTCTATATCTAATTACCCGCGTTGTGCGTGTCACGGCTCCCGGTATATATACACACACCAGTCGAACTGTTAACAGCTGCGGGCAATACCAAAACACACGTGACTCGACAACACATGACAAGATGGGGCGGAGACATGACGTCACCAATCTGCATTTCTTCGTGTGTTTTCCCTGATGAGGGGGAGTGCATGAAGTGCAAAACGACTGATCTGAAGAATGTAGTGTGAGCGCGTTAGATTTAATTCGAACAGTTTCATTGGTCCACTGTGACCTGTTGGGTAATTTCATTGGTCCGATGTGACGAGGCTAAATGTTTTGGTGGCATGAAACTCGTTAGCCCGTAAAAATCAATCAATTAGCCGCATCATTGTTTAAGCCGCAGTGTTCAAAGCGTGTGGGTGGAAAAAAGTAGTGGCTTGTAGTCCGGAAATTACAGTAATTAACTTTTGATTAATCAGCTAGTTAAGAGTAAATCTATTAACCACTGCTAGAAATGTGCAGGGTCGGTCCATTGTACAACAGGAAGATTTGCATGGCGAGACCGGTCTTCACGAGAACGCAAGTCTGTTCTTTGCATTCTTAGACTTGAGAAACAGCCAATTTGTTTTATACTATGCTCTGTCTCAATCATCTGTTCTGATTGGATGGAAGGTGTGCGTTAAAACCGTATCTACAACAGGTAGTTCCAGTCAGTTTAATCACCGTTGTAAATTAATGTGCTGCCTGTGAACTGTAATTATTCAATTATTGTAATTACAGTTTCATTATTAGTAGAAATGCGCCATTCTCTCTCTCACTCACACACACACACAGACACACACACATACTCTCTCTCTCTCGCTCAGAACTATTTACTGTAACTCATTGAAGTAAATGTCATCTTTTTGCACTACTTTGTTTATGATTTAGAGTGGGTGCTTTGCATCGGGTGGTTCTTTGTCTCCACGTCGTGCGTTGAAATTGTGTATCACACACCTAGCCGTGGACTATCCTGACTAATACATATTTTTATTTTAGTCCAAACATTCAAAACACATTACATTTCCGCAGCTCTGTGCTTTGACCCAGTTTGACCCTTCTGGGTCAGTGAAGAAGCTCACATTTACAGACAGCTGCAGACAAACCAAAATACACTGCATGTACGGTCCACTTCCTGCAGTTAAGTCCATTCAGAACCTTTGAAGTGCTTATCATATTCTGCTCATATTCCAGTCTCTTTAAAACACAAAGTGATTTGTAATTTGAAAGATACTTTTATGGATATATATAAAAAATAAATGGTGACACCATCCACTAGTCACGATTAACAGGCCCATGCCATGTATTTTTATTTATGTTCGTGAATTCACACAAGTGCTGAAATACTGCTGCTACCCCTCAACCGAAACAGAGAGAGTCTATTTTACACCAGAATGCCTGAAATGATTTGACCTTTACGCCAGGTATAGAGTGTGGAAAGTGGAGTTTTTCCCCCGCCTCTTTATATCTAGTTAGTTTGCTGCCTGATGTCCACAGCATATACTGTACTTGTGGTCTCTAAATGTAAATGTAGCAAAGTATAATATCTTTGCTTTTTTTATTTTTATTTATTTATTTATTTATTTATTTTTTACAATCTAGAGCCATAATGAAAACATAACATGGGCTATATTTAAGCTAGACTGTCATTTATAATTCGAACCTTTGTGAAAGTTTGACCTGCTACCTGGCAGAGCAGCGACTAAAATTATGTCGTCTGACTGAGCTACAACAAATACTCAAAAATGAGTGATGAGTTAGTTTTAAAATGGGAAATTTAAAATGATATACACTTATTATCGATGGTTATTAAACCTATACCTTCCATAGATAATAGACTACCTCACTGACAGTGTGTTGTGACTTTTTAACGCAGTGTGTTTTTCTCAAGACACTCGAGTTTCTGCAATCCTCTATAGCTTGGTAGGTATATGCAAATGAAAACATGGAGCAAAATCCCACCTAACCCACTTAAAAATATCTACATTTCGGCAAATAGTAAGGTCCAGTGTAGTCTATGCAAACTTCTCTTGGTCTGTGGGAACACCTGAAGAGAAGACATGCCGGATGAATGCCTTTGGTACGTTAACTTTATCAGGTGAGTTGACCGGTGTTAACATCGTTAAACAAAACATAACCATATTATAGAATTGAATGCAAATCTCTGACATATTTACAGCAGTCCCCATAGGGCTGGGTGATATTGCAAGGAAAAAGTGTATGAATGATATTTGATTTATCATTTTTTATTTATTTATTTTTTGTTCTTGCATAATGCAAATAAATTGCGTACTTTTCCAACATTTATTATTTATTAGAGTGGACTGTGGAAAATGTAGATGTGCAAAAATAGTAACAACACCAGCTATAGCAAGTAGTGCAAACACTGGTTCTTTTAAATGTTTAAATATTTAAAGAAAGGATATTTTAAAAAAAGATTGTTTGCACTATTTGCCATAGATGGCTCTTTTAATATTTTTGCACAACATGGCGAACCCTTCGTTCTCTACAGAGTAAATGGGGACCATGTCTTTCATAAAATGAAATGTCATGACATAAAATGCAACTGCCAAGTCAACTTTGGGTATTCCTCTCAAATCCGAGTTCCTTCCCCCTTTACCGAGTGAGATCGAATCAGCATGGTTGCTCACAGCATTAGAAATAAACAAAGTAAAACTTGTTACCGTCAAATGAATTATAGTGTATATTTTATAGTTATAGTGTATACATAAATATTAGCTTTAAATTAATCAACATATTGGTTTGTGAAATCTAAATCTGACTATGCAGATTGCTGTTTGAGACAGATAATATTCAACAATCATCGAATTAGCTGGCTCACTTCTTGATGATAAAATACGAACGTGAGGTCTTCCATTTTCCCACTTCATCTGTCGAACGTGCCAAGGGTGAAAATGTTGTGATTCTGACCACCGGGTTACATGTACAGTCTCGTTTAGAACATTTTGAAAATTGCATTAAAAAATATATGGATCTTTGAGTTGCGATTTTTAAGAAAAGAGAAAGTACCCAAGAAGAAAAGGCCCTCGGCCCGCTACACACTTCCCGCACAAAGCGCTTGGGAGCGCTACCCAATGACACACAGACGCACAAAATTCAAACGGGAAGAGCTCTCTTTATTCAAAGAAAAGCAAAGTATGTATCGTGCTTGACACAAAACGGAGACAAAGGGTTTAATATTGATTGGCTAGGCTGAAGGGCATATTTGCATAAAACAGGAACCATATCAGCGTAAGAGAGGAACAACTCCGTATACAGTTTTTTATTTTCTGTAATTTAATTCAAAAAGTGTTACTTTCACATATTTTATATTCACTACACATAAAGAGAAAGTCTTTTTTGTTTTCATTTTGATTACGGCTCACAGCTCATGGGAATCAAAATCCAGTATCTCAAAATATTAGAATAAAGAATTTATAATGCAGAAATATCGACCTTCTGAAAAGTATATTAATTTATGCACTCGATATTTGGTTGGGGCTTTAATCTTTTTGCACGAATTATTGGATCGATGTGGCATGGAGGCAATCAGCCTGTGGCATGGCTGAGGTGTTCTGGAAGCCCAGATTGCTTTGATGGCGGCCTTCAGCTCATCTGTATTGTTGGGTCTGGTGTCTCTCAAAGATTCTCTATGGGGTTCAGGTCAGGCGTGTTGGCTGGCCAATCAAGCACAGTAATACCGTGTTTCCACCGTAGAAACTTTCCCCAGGAACTAGGGACTTTTGGAGGTACTCGGTGTGTTCCCACTTCAGGGACCAGGGTCTAAATTTAAATATTCCCCTTCATAAAGTCCCTACATGGGAGGTGGTACTTTTTCAAAGTTCAGGAAGTTTGGGGAAGGTGGGACATGCTGATATTGGTTAAGTGCATGCAGCATTTTTTTTCCAACCACCCTTTTAAAAGTCTTGCATTGTGTACTGTAACAGTTGCTTATTGCCATTCGAATGAACACAATGGAGTTTCTTAAAAAATTTGACCGATGGACCAATGACGAGGTTCATTCCGAGGATGAAATACAGCAGGAATTGGTAACGACGACCTGCAATGAAAAAGTATACCTAAATGTCAAGTAGATTATGCAAGCTGGGCGTTGTTCACACGTGCGCGCATGCGTTCGTCTCGGTCATCTCATGGTCAGTCTCCGCAGTACCTGATGAAATCTGTTTGCTTACTTTCTCGATTATCTCTTTAGCAAAGCAATACACCACAATCAACAGCAACACAGCTTGGATCTCCGCCATGCTGCTTGTTGTTTCAGCGTCGTCATCAGATTCCAGAAAATAGACTGTCCGTTTTTTTAAACACGAACCTTTATACAAAGATTTAAAAAAACAACAGTTCATCCCCTGCCCGGGAATCGAACCCAGGCCATGGAGTTGAGGGCGCCGAATCCTAACCTCTAGAACGAGCGAACATTTTACATTAACCCTCTTACCCCGAAGGCCGAAAAACCGGCTTGCCCGTCTTTGACCTATTCCCGTACGGACGATGTACCGACTTGGTCATCCATGCCAAATCCCCTTAAGGCCGGTATACCGGCATTACTCTGCTATGATTCCTTAATTATTTATTATTTTTTGACCCGGAAGGTTGACGTGATTACGTCATTACTCTATCATTACAGTGAAGATGATCCAAGCGTGAATGTTGTTGATAAACTTAGTTAACTAAAAATATCAAAGTGAAAAGCTAATCGTGTTCCAGCTAAAGTTACGCCTACAGTGAACACGGGTACATCTAAAACAGTGGAAAAAAAGAAAACGTACACAGTTACACAGGCGAGAGTGAGGATTGTAGATAGTGACCGCAGTGAAAGTTCAGGCGATGTTGAAACCGAAACTGATAGTGACCCAAAAACTCTCCTGATTCAGACCGTGCAGGGGTTTGGAGTCATAACGTGACAATTTCTGTGCATTCGTGAAAACACTACCTGCTGCTCTGATTATCACCAGAAAGTTGACTTTTGGCACTAAAATGCATTTATTCAAAGGCATTGACCACGCTGATGGTACACGCTGATGTATGGTACTTCTAAATGAGTAGGAGGATTTTAACAAGCATTTTTCGTCATTTCTCTAGTAAAGAATTGTTCTCTAAGTTTAGTAAAAACACGGAACTGCTTAATTTTCAAAGTAATATTACACAAATACATTATTATAAGTTGTTTCAAGGCCTAAAAATGTTCAAATTAAAATGTTGATTTTGGGGCCAATTTTGCCCCGGAAACTCAGGGTTGGCATGCTGTTTCTATGGGGAATATAGGGTTGTGGGACATAATACTGTGAGAACTAAGGGGTAAGAGGGTTAATACATCATTAAAATCCACTTACTTTGTGTCAATAATCAGTTTGATTGAAGCATACTTCGAAGCTTCATATCCTCACTAAGGGCTTGTCACATGCAGTCAGGTTGTACGTCACCGGACTAATTTGCCTAATCTTCATTGTACTTTAGACCACAAGGGAAATGCAGACAATAAAGGTCTGGCGAAACCTTGAAAAAGTTCCTCGGACTTTTTGTTCTGGATAATTTCCATGGAAACGCAGCTATAGTCAGCAAACCATTTACTAGTATTTATGGCACTGTGGGCACTGCTGGAAAAGGAAATCCATCTCCATGAAGCTTGTCATGAGAGAGAAGCATCTAGTTCTCTAAAATCTCCTGGTAGACGCTGCATCGACTCTCGACTTGAGAAAACACAGTGGACCAACACCAGCAGATGACCTGGCCCCCAAATCATCACTGACTGTGGAAACTTCACACTGGACTTCAAGCAACGTGGATTCTGTGCCTCTCCACTCTTCCTCCAGACTCTGGGACCTTGATTTCCAAATGAAATACAAAATTTACTTTCATCTTCCCCATGATTGTGGTTGTGTACTGAACCAGACTGAGATATTAAAGGCTCAGGAAACCTTTGCAGGTGTTTTCAGTTAATTACCTGATTAGAGCTCTTCTCAGGTCGACATTTCTATATGAAAAAATTCTTTACTAGAATATTTTGAGATACTGGATTTTTGATTTCCATGAGCTGTAAGCCATAATCAAGGTTAAAACAACAACAAAAAAAAGGTTGTAGGTGTAATGAATCTAGAATATATGAAAGTTCCACTTTTTGAATTAAATTGGGGGGGCATGAACTTTTCCCTGATATTCAAATTTTTCGAGATGCACCTGTATGGTATTCATGAAGTCATAGGAATGTGAAATGGTATTCGGGAAGATCTGTAAATGCGTGCAAATGGTGAGGGGCTTTATCTTTCTGTTACCTGGTTGAAACTGGATTTGTGCAGAGGTGAAGGACGTAACAAAGGACCAAAGAAGAAAAATGTTAACAAGGGAACAGCGAGTGAAGCGTAACCTATATAACCTAATTTCCGGACCATAAGCCGCTACTTTTTTCCACACGCTTTGAACACTGCGGCTTAAACAACAATGCGGCTAATTTATGGATTTTTACGGGCTAACGAGTTTCATGCCACCAAAACATTTAGCCTCGTCACATCGGACCAATGAAATTACCCAACAGGTCACAGTGGACCAATGAAACTGTTCGAATTAAATCTAACGCCCTCACACTACATTCTTCAGATCAGTCGTTTTGCGCTTTGCGAACACCCCCTCATCAGGGAAAACACACGAAGAAATGCATATTGGTGACGTCATGTCTCCGCCCCGTCTTGTCATGTGTTGTCGAGTCACGTGTGTTTTGGTATTGCCCGCAGCTGTTAACAGTTTGACTGGTGTGTATATATATACCGGGAGCCGTGACACGCACAACGCGGGTAATTAGATATAGAGTTTAAATTATATATTTAGGGTCTTTGTTCATGCCATGTGTCTTAGTTCTTGTCAAGGCTAGTTAGCTTATAGCTTAGCCTGTAGCCTAGTAGCTTATAGCATAGCTTATAGCCTAGTAGCGGATAGTATAGCTTAGAGTTGTATGAACTTGGTTTAGAATATAGATGTAGAAGTGGTTTATAGAGTATAGATATAGAGTCTTTGTTCCATGCCATGTCCATGTTCACAGTCATTGTCACGTTTCATGTCATAGTTAATGTTTAGGTTAGTTGGTTTAGTTAGCTTAGTTCATTGAGTTGGTCATGTTTTGTGTTTCTTGTTTCTCTTGAGTCTGCTCTCCTCTGTTTCAATAAAAGGTCTCCTCCTAACTGCACTTGCATCCGTCCTGCTTCGTTTACGTCACGAATCGTGACAGTTACAACGTGGACACCTGCGGATTCATAAATGTTATGCTGTAGAAACTACACAGGCCTCTTTTGCTGTAGAATGTAATACAGTACTGGTGCTGTTGGGGGCAATGGCCGTGCAGCTTCTGTTGTTTCTAGTCAGAATAGTTGGTGATGAGATATTGTCATTAATCTCCTATTACGTAATGTTTCATGAAATAGGCTTGATATTTTATAATGGAACCGTCAAAGTAGTAAAATATGTGAAACACCAGTGTGAAATTTTAAGTTCAATGAGATCAGTTTTACTTTTGGCTCGTTCAGATCAATGATAAGAGAATGTGTCTGTGTAAACTACTGATTCAGTACAGTCGAGAGAGAGAATTCTTGTCATTATTTAAAGTCATCTAGTTATTAGAGTAGGGAATGATCATTAAATTAGCGGATTATTAAAGAAATCATGGCTTTGCAATCGCTGCAAGTGCATGGAAAATGCGGCAGTACAAGGTCCTATGACAGACTGCAGTATGTAACTGCAGTATGAATTTTACACAAGCTGACTACTAATGCAGCACAGTCTGTCAGCTTCTTTACGGCTGGAAGTTAGCAATCAATCTCGTATGCTAATTAACATTTAAACATTAATAGGAAAGGAGAATATTTTACCAGCTCTGTCTGGTACTTTTCTCTCTTTGTTTCATGTTACTGCTGTTCCCATCTCGCTTTCTTTATTATCTTTCTCTCTCACCCCTCCCCTGACATATTCAAACTTAGAGGCAAGATGTGTTCTTAAAACGGATTAAAGAATGAAAGATGTTGTTTTTTTGGTTTTTTTAATGGGATGAGATCTGTTTGGGGCACAGGTCAACATACCTGGGCCTAGTGCCAAGGTTTGAGTAGTTTTCAAAGACAAATAAGAGTAGAGACTTTTTTTTATTATTAGAAAATGTACAGTCTGCTGTTAACAAGTTCACTGTTTGGACAAGTTTATTAAGTATGGTTTTTTTTACATTTTAAGGGGGTTCTTTGTATGCAATCACCGTAAATTCCGGACTACAAGCCGCTACTTTTTCACAGACTTTGAACACTGCGGCTTAAACAATGACGCCGCTAATTTGTGGATTTTTACGGGCTAAAGAGTTTCATGCCACCAAAACATTTAGCCTCGTCACATCGGACAAATGAAATTACCCAACAGGTCACAGTGGACCAATGAATCTGTTCGAATTAAATCTAACGCCCTCACACTACAGTCTTCAGATCAGTCATTTTGCGCGTCATGCACACCCCCTCATCAGGGAAAACACACGAAGAAATGCAGATTGATTGACGTCATGGCTCCACCCCTTCTTGTCGTGTGTTTTGGTAATGCTCACAGTGGTTACACACAACACGGGTAATTAGATATAGAGTTAGAATTAGATAGCCAATATAGTTAGAGTCTTTGTTCATGCCATGTGTCTTAGTTCTTGTTCATGTTTCCAAGCATTAGTCTATGTCTGAGTTCATGTCAAGGCTAGTTAGCTTATAGCATAGCTTATAGCTTAGCCTGTAGCCTAGTAGCTTGTATCATAGCTTATAGCCTAGTAGCGGATAGTATAGCTTAGAGATGTATACACTTAGTTTAGAATATAGATGTAGAAGTGGTTTATAGAATATAGATATAGAGTCTTTGTTTCATGTCATAGTTAATGTTTAGGTTAGTTGGTTTAGTTAGCTTAGTTCATTGAGTTGGTCATGGTTCTTGTTTCTCTTGAGTCTGCTCTCCTCTGTTTCAATAAAAGCTCTCGTCCTAACTTCACTTGCATCCGTCCTGCTTCGTTTACGTCACGAATCGTGACAGTTACAACGTGTATACCTGCGGCTTATAGACAAGTGCGGCCTATATATGTACAAAATATGTTTTCTTTTTAAAATTAGCGGGTGCGGCTAATATTCAGGTGCGCTCAATAGTCCGGAAATTACAGTAGGTATGCGATTTACTACAGAAGAGCCTTTCATATGATTTTTAAAAATTATTTATCCTAATGCTGGTTCTATTAAATCATTGGAATGAATTATGTCTTAAACTTATTGTATATTAAGAATTGGGTAGTATTCATCAGAATATGTGAATAACAAATTAATCGATAGCTACAGCCCATTTATCTGAAAAGATAAATTGAGAAACCTGTCAGTCATTTTTATTTCACATAAACCACTTTCTGCTCTGTTTTATACATGGCAC